CAAATTATCGTATTATTTATTTCCTCTTTTTGAGAGCCACATGATATAGCTTGATATTCATACTGTTAATTCAGTGATTTTATTCCTGCTAATAGGAACATCCATGGATCACTTACTGTGTGCTGAAATAGACCCAAAGATTTTGCATACCTTATTTCATTTAATTGTCTCAATAAATGCATTGATTTATCCACATTTTTGAGAAAAGTCAAAATGAGAGTAGTTCATTAAATCACTCAAAACCTCATAGATGGAAAGCAGCAAAACCAGAGTATACATAGAATACATAGAGCTCCATAGTCTGCATAATCTTAATGCCTATAGCATATAGCTTTTGAATTATTGCAAAAAAGTTAAATGTTATTACCATCTTTAGCTATAATCCTGTAAATAAAATGTGACTGAACTTTCAGTGCTAAAGGGATAAGAGGCTTGTTAAATTATAGGAATCACAAGTATATTGATATACAATATAATTTGAATTAGGCATATCTTTCAACATATTCTAAGTAGTTAGCAGTTACCAAAAGCACCTTTTACTAGGTTTCCAACTTGGTACCCTTACCGTGTCAAAAAACACAAAACACTATGACATGGAACAACAGACGTATCTCAAATTAGCATGTTAATTCCTGATTTCTTTTTTAAGTATATATTTTTTTATTCATTCATTCATTCATTTAACAGGCAGAGCAACACAGAGATTCCAACTCCTGGTACACTCCCTAGATGGCCATGAACAGCAGGTCAGGACCAGACTAAAGGCAAGAGCAAGAAACTCCATCTGGATCTCCCAGATGGGTGACAGGGGCCCAGGTACTCTGGGCCATCCTCTGCTGCCTTCCCAGGTGCATTAGCAGGGTTTTGTATCAGAAACTGAGCAGACAACAGCACTCTGATATGGCATGCTTGTGTCACAAGCAGCATTTTAAATCGCTGTGCCACAAAGCCCTTTCTATTTATACTTACTTTTTATGTTATTTATTTGAAAGGCAGAGAGACAAAGAAAGCAAGAGAGAGAGACCCACAGACAAAGATCTCTCATTTGCTGCTTCACTCTCCATATGCCTGCTTGAGCCAGGCCAACGCCAGCAGCTAGAACAAAGCTCCCATCCACTGGTTCACTCAAATGCCTGCAAAGTCCTGAGAGTGCACCAAAACTAGGAGCTCCTAACTTTATCCAGATTCTCACATGGGTAGGAGGAACCCAGCTGTTGTACAGTGGCTGCACTCAGGTCACTGCAGCAGTGTGCAGCCACTGAAGGCACTGGGAGCCCGTGCTGGGAACTCGACCCCTCTACACAAAGCCAGAGCCAGTGGTGCGCCAGGGGCCCGGCTAGCTCAGTTAGTAGAGCATGAGACTCAGAGTCGTGGATTCAAGCCCCATGTTGGGCACCATGTTGTCTCATTTGGGTTCTCCCGTGGTGGCTGGGGGTAAGACGGCGAAGAGTCACAACACAGACACCGGGAGTCGGGTAAAAGTGGGCTAGAGGCGAGTAGCTCGCAGATTCCTTTATTTCAGGAAGTACATGCGCTTGTGTAGCCGAGGCAGCCAATCTGGTCAAGGGAAGGTCCATGCCTTAACCAGTCACTGCCTGTTGCCAGGCAGACTCCCCTGCCAGGTAGGTTCTGCCGCCATTTCCTGTGCAGCTGAGGGTGCATCCGGCTCGCTTGCTGTTGCCGTCTTGGTGCTTCTTACTCATTCCACCACACCCAACTACTTGAGGTAGTTAACAGGAAGCTGGAGTTAGGAGCCAGAGGTAGGACTTGAACCCAGGAACTCAAATGTGAAATGTGGTCACTTCACCTCCAGACTAACTGCCAGCTCCTCCACATTCTAAATTATCTTGCTTGATCACTTTGCCTACTCTGATATTTAGAGAAACTGGCTCAACAGTTGCGTATTTCTTTTTTAAGTTTTGATTTATTTGTATGCTTGTTTGAAACTCAGAGTTAGAGAGAGAGAGAGGAGGGAGACAGAGATCTTCCATTCACCGTTTCGCTTTCCACATGGCTGCAACAGCCAGGGCTGAGCCGGGCTTAAGCCAGGGACCAGAAGCTTCATCTGGTCTACCATAGGGGTGGCAGTGACCCAAATATGGAATGCTGATATCGCAGGTGGTGGCTTTACCTGCTACACCACAGTGCTGACCCCATTTGGATTAGTTTTAAATTTTGCTTTCTGTTATATGTGGATTCTGAAATGCCTGTCCTTTGGTTTAATTTTTGATTCACAGGAATGTTGTCACACAATTACAGTTATTGATATCTGGTTTCAAAGAATTGTTCCTCACTTACTGAGAGTTTAATTTCCCAATGAGAAATGAATAACCATGCCAAAGTCATGGTTATTCACAACTATGTTCCATGGACTATAGCAAAATGGCGTGGATTGCTCCTTTATGTTATGCAAATTGTAATATCAGATTTAGGATAACCACTACAAAGATATCTTACTGAATTCTACAATTTCTGTTAAAATGTATTTTATAATATATTATTTTTCTATAAAGAATTGAGATGAGAGACAAATTTCAAAAGGAACATTGATTTCTTATCAATGATATCTTTTTTGGCCTGATGTTCTGTCATTTTTTTCTTAAAAATGCAAGTCTCATATATGTTCATGGACAAAATATGAAATATTTGAGACCCTAGTCACTACAACATTTAATATTCTAGAAGTTGAAAAATTACATTTTTCTACCAAATCAAGCTTATATTAAAAAGCATGGTCTGAATTTTACCTTTCTGATTAATGTATCCTGGAAATTTTTCCATGTGAGCATGAATATTTCTACTGCATTTTCACATTATTATTATATCATAATGTGCCCTGTCTCTTTCCAGTGGCAATTTGGTTCTATAAATCTCTCTCTCTCTCTCCTATTATGAACAGTGCTCAATAAATATATTTTGCATCTGTTTCTACATTTATTGAGGTACATCTGCAGAATACATTTCTAATGGTGAAATCAATGTTAAGTCACATGAGAACTTTTGTTTAATAGAAATTGCAGGATGGACAAGATCTGATTTTTAACACTTTCATGAAAACATTAGCAATACCAGATCCAGAACATATATGTAGAGTTGATTTAAAGAAAAGATTGAGAATGCATTGCTTTGCATTTAGGCTTAGGGAAATTTCAAGTGTATATGGGGTATATTCCACTAGTCAAGTAACAAAATGTCTCATTATAAGTCTTTTTGTAGTTTTAAATTGTATGTTATGATGCCAAATATCTCCAATTTGACATATTTGCATTTATCTAAATCTTGAATAGATTCTAAAATATTTTTGTGTTTTGTTTTGTTAAATTGCATTAAACGCAGGGTAATTTTCCATAATCATATGCTGCAAATTAAGATTCATTTATTTGAATATGATTTCTATTCCAACCATTACCTGAATATCACTGTTCTTTAGCTGGCAGCTTGAATAATTTACACAAATAATATGCCTGAGAAAATGAACAATCTCAATTGTGTTAGAATTTCAAGTGGTAGCAAACAGAATAATTAGTGGTTAAATATTTTCCAGTTTCAGTGATGTATAACTTAACAATTCATTTCCAATTTCATTAAATGTTGCTTATTATAAGGTGTGTTTTAATTCAAAACAGTTTTGCAGTAAGGGATCTTATGTATTGGAATCAAGATTGTTGCCTTTTTGCCCCCACTTTTTTGCCTCAAATAGTTGACAGTATTTTTGTGTCTATTTTTAGTGTCAGTTACTTAACAGACTATATGTCTCTTGCCAAATTTAGCAATCAAAATCAAACATAGCAAGGCATTTAAAGATAAAGGGCTGGGGGTTGTAGTCCTCCTACCCATTAGTGACAGCTGCAAATATATCAAGACTTGAGAGAAAATTTATCTTTCAAAAGCAAGGGAGGCTTGAGGATGGCTCTCGGAGTGACGTTTGTCAGAGTGTGCTTTATTCATTTTCTTTACTTGATGTCAGAGAACTACTCTTGTGTTTGCAGGATTTTTGAATAAGCCTTGAATGGTTCTTGATGTCCTACAGTTGCTCTATTTCTTTTATGAACCTTTTTTTTTCTCTTGCCTTCTCCATTAACCACTGGACTTTCAGAATCTGATTGATATTACTTACCAGCTCTTATAATAATCCTGTAGTTATTTATATTTTTAGAGCAGTCCTAAGTTACTCTTCACCCGTATCTCAGTACTCCTTTGATGATGTATTTTGTATTGAAACCACCCCGAAGGCAATGGTGTATTGCTCTAAATATTCTGCTTTGTGCCAGTCAGCACTTCACCAATTTTATTTCCATGATCATTACAAATTGTTCACTTTCCTAAAAAAAAAAAAAGGACAAATTAAGGGTATGATTTCTAAAATAAATGTTGTGAACTGGCACCTCGATAATTCTGCAAACAGAAATCAGGTTAAAACCACAAGCAATGCAATATGATACTTTTAGGATAGTGTGACTTTTTAAGGTGAAAATTACAAGTTTAGTTATAGTAATGTCTCAGACCATTAAAATGTTGACTGCTAAAAGTGTTTTGGACTGTGCAATTTTGGCTGGAGGACGAGGATTTTTAGATGATATGCAAAATGAATGAGAGATCTCAGAGATAAGTAAATTAAGTTGAAACTTCTTGTGGATGAATTACTTTTTGCTAATATTATTAACTCATGTTAATAAAATGATATGATCTATAATAACTATAGAATAAGGTAATACAAGCTTTGAAACTTTTAAAAGTTTACTAAATGCGGAGTTCACTTTCAATAAAAGTTTTTTAGTCCAGTTACCTGCAACCCAGTTAGCCAAAAGTTAGATGCGAAATAAAGAGAATGAAAAAACAGGTCAGGAAAAACACCCAAAAATTCTCATATCCCATATCCAGAGCTTAGGTTCCTCTTCTTTCCTAAGGGCATTTTATTCATGATTAAATAATGAGCTCTTTCTTTTTCTTTCTTTCTTTCTTTCTTTCTTTCTTTCTTTCTTTCTTTCTTTCTTTGACAGGTAGAGTTACAGAGACAATGAGAGAGACAGAGAGAAAAGCCTTCCTTCCATTGGTTCACTCTCCAAATGGCCTCTATGGACAGTGCTGCACCGATCCGAAGCCAGGAGCCAGGTGCTTCCTCCCGGTCTCCCAGGTGGGTGCAGGGGCCCAAGCACTTGGGCCATCCTCCACTGCTCTTCCAGGCCACAGTAGAGAGCTGGACTGGAAGAGGAGCAACCGGGACTAGAACCCAGTGCCCATATGGGGCGCCGGCACAGCAGGCAGAGGATTAACCAAGTGAGCCATGGCAACGGCCCCGATAATGAGTTTTTTCAAGAAGCAAGTTATACTTTTTAATCTCACAATTCATCAACCTTCATTTGTCACCTTGTTTTAGAACATACTAATACAAGACTTATCTAAGTCAGATTTGCTTCTTACCAATAATTTAAACTCTTCAACCTGCAGTTTACTCATATACAAAATAAAGATCTGATAATAGACTCATGATGTTTCATAAACATCATAAAGTTTTAGAAAAATTATGTCTCCAAAGACTTTCTTTAGCTTTTACTCTGCCATATATGAAGCACGAAGTAAAAGATTAGCAATTATTTGTAACCCTTCCTTATGCTTAGCTGTCATCCAGGTTCTAAGTGTTATGAGTAGGGGAGGTAGAAGAAATGCAAAATGCATATTTTAGTTTATGAATCAATTCAATTAGTTTGTGAACCAGTTCCTACTCTATTTTGTCCTTTGAAGATAGAAAACTAACTAAAACAAGCTTCCTTTTCCAAAAAACTAGTTAAATTTAGCTGGAAAAGGAGCAATCCTGGATATAGATGGGATATACCCTGCTCAGGGTGGGCAACCTACAACATAGTCTGTGTTTAATACATAGTCGTGAAATGACTAAACAAAGTCATATGTAAGAGACAATGGCACAGACATGCCATGTATACACGTGCAGAGAGTCAGCAGCCAAAAAGGTATTAGATAAGTCTCATAGGGATAGCAATAATGAAGTAATGAAGTATATAATTCAGAGTTAAGTTATAACATACTAAGCATTTGTCATTGAGGATATCTGATTGAACTGAGTATGAGCTGGTATGAAAATTGTAATAAGAGATTGTGGTGATGCTGTTGTGTGACTGGAACTCTGCCAGCTATGGGGGATATAGCAGTGAATTAGACAAAATTTCTGTCCTAAAGGTATCTGGAAAGCCAAATATAAACAAAAGTTACAAATACAATAGATCAATCCAATGAGCCTATTTAACTTTAGCACTTTTTACAATGCCTAACAATGTAGGTATGCAGCAGGTTTTTTTCTTTTTTTTTTTTTTTTTTTATTTTTTTGACAGGCAGAGTGGACAGTGAGAGAGAGAGACAGAGAGAAAGGTCTTCCTTTGCCGTTGGTTCACCCTCCAATGGCCGCCGCGGCCGGCGCGCTGCGGCCGGTGCACCGCGCTGATCCGATGGCAGGAGCCAGGAGCCAGGTGCTTTTCCTGGTCTCCCATGGGGTGCAGGGCCCAAGCACCTGGGCCATCCTCCACTGCACTCCCTGGCCACAGCAGAGGGCTGGCCTGGAAGAGGGGCAACCGGGACAGAATCCGGCGCCCTGACCGGGACTAGAACCCGGTGTGCCGGCGCCGCTAGGCGGAGGATTAGCCTAGTGAGCCGCGGCGCCGGCCTAGGTTTTTTTATTTTAAATGAAATTCATGTACTGCATATATACAGTTGCTTTTTGTTTTAGATTTTTTTTATTATTTATTTGAAAGGCAGAGTTACAGAGAGGCAGAGAGGTCGTCTATCCACTGGTTCACTCCCCAAATAGCTACAACATCCAGAGCTGGACCATTCTGAAGCCAGGAGCCAAGAGCTTCTTCCAGGCCTCCCACACAGGTGCAGGGGCCCAAGGATTCAGGCCATGTTCCACTGCCTTCCCAGGCCATAGCAGAGAGCTGGATCGGAAGTGGAGCAGCCAGGACTCGAACCACTGCCCATATAGGATGCCGGTGTCGCAGGCTAGGGCTTTAACCCACTGTACCACAGCACCGGCCCCAAGATTTTATTTTTTAAAAAAGCCAAGTAAGAAATGACTACCCCAGTCTGCCACAGACAGGAAAGAATACACAGAATAAGTGCCTGGGCTTGGTGGGTCAGCAATGACACACTGGCAGGTATTAGGGATCCAAATATTGAATAATGACTGGTGAGCTCTGTTCTGTCTTTTGCCTTGTATTGAAGTAGCATGTTGATTATGCAAGGCCACTTAGAACAGGACGTTATTGCAGCCTCTGAACATCTTAATGAAGATAGATTTCCACTTTCATTCATTCCTCTTTGAACTACATCCGTCTGAAATCATAACACTTAAGACTTTTAAAATGATCACCTTCTTTTCTGCTAGTATCAAAGACCAGTTTATTGATCGTCCTAGTATAGCACAGCTTGCTAGTTTTGTTTTCTGCTTCTACAGTCTTTCCCCCTGGTTAGCTATAATTGAAACTGTAAATTGTCATTTTGTCACCAGGAAGGGGAGTTTAATCTCAGTCTTTATTAGGAATCAGCTCCTCCAGGCCCCAGGATGCATTTAACAATGGGCTGTGGAATCAATTATTCAATCTCCAGAGAGTTGTGCTTGATCACTTGTCATCGACCTGAGGCTTTATGGTTAGAAAGATTTGTGATGAGGGACGCTCAGGTTTCCAAACTCAACCATTTTCCACCAACAGACAACTTCAAAAGCTTCCTCTTTTAAAGAAACCTCCTCTTGGTTCAGATACTTAATCCATTATTCAGTGATCCTGATTTACTTTCTTTGAGTGTTATAATCACTGACATTCTCCAATCTTAATTTCATCTATCCTTACCGATAAGCACATTCCATGATAAAAAAAAGACATCTTGAATGTAAAAATGCCTTCATGAAATATGGCTAAAAAGTTTCTCTCCTAAGAAATGTCAACAAGAGTATATCAGACCACTAAAAAATAATAATCAAAGAATGATATAAATGTCACATCATGTAACAGGCATTCATGGAATCTTTTTAACTTGTTGAGGATACTATAATGAAGTCTCTGACCCAAATTTACAAAGATGAGAACCCATTTCCTGAAGCTCTTCCAAGGAACCCCCAAATAACTCTCAAGCCAGGCTTAAACTCACCTATATTTCCTTGCTGTTCATATGAAGAATCTCCGAAGAGTTTGCAGAAAATTGGAGTTAAAAAGTATTTTAGTGCAAAAAAATTGCAATTCATAACTTTTTGAAGATCTCATAGTTCTACAGACCTGGTTAATTTTGTATTTCTCGTTATGTGTCCCTACGCTCAGCTTTTCTAGCCTTTGCATTTAGTTAGAATTTCTTCATGCCTCCAGACAGGTCATGTTACTAATTCCAAGCAGAGAAGACAAATTCTGTTCTGCATAGCCTTTATTTCTCTGAGAACAGCCTAATATCCCTCCTCGGGGCACAGAGTTAAGCTGCCTGCAATTCCAGCATCCCATATTGGAGAGCCAGTTTGAGTCCAGACAGCTCTGCTACCATCCAGGTCCTGGCTCAAGCACCTGGGAAAACAGCAAAAGTTGTCCCAAGTGCTTGATTCGTCTCTGGTTTCCTCCTGGCCCAACGCCAGCTTTTGCAGTCATTTGAGGAGCAAAGATCTCTTTATCTATCTGTCCCTTTTTTCTCCCACTCTGTGTTTCAAATAAATAAATAATAAATATTAAAAAAAAATACCCTTCCTATCTCTGAAATGTGAAGTTGTTGCTGGATGGTGATATATCCAGTGAGTTAATTATCAGTGTTTTATTAACTATGATATAAATAATTATGTTCCCAAAAGACAGGGGCAGGTAAGAGATTAGAGGAGGCAGAGTATCCAAAAGTGGGAAAATCCTCTATTTAATGTAATAAGAAATTTTGTCTGTAATTTATATTTTAATCAATTATTAATTATCATTTTAGACAAAAGTGCTTTAGGGAGAATGAGAGCACCCCAACATCATGATAATGATGATGATGATGTTGATTTAAATTAAACACCAAGAACTTTTGATTCAAGGTTTCTTCCTTCCCTATTTCTCTCCTCTTTTTCCTTACTCCTCCTCCTCCCTCCCTCCCTCTCTCTCTCTCAAGATTTATTTAATTTATTTGAAAGACAGAGTGACATGGAGAGAGGGAGAAACAGAGAGATAGAGCTCTTTCATCTGCTGATTCACTCTCCAAAAGGGCTGAACCAGGTGAAAGCCAGGAGCCTGTAACTCCATCTGATATCCCATGTGGGTGGCATGGGCTCAAGGACTGGGCCTATCTTCCAGTGTTTGTCCAGGAACGTTAGCTGGGAACTGGAGAAGAGGCAGAGCAATACCTGTGCTGTCTGTCTTTGTTTCTTAATCCTGGAACTGTGTGATATTTTCCTGAGGATCTTAAAAAGTTAGTCATGATAAAAATTACTGTGTGTAATTGTTTATTATCATTTATATGTCTGTTTGCTATGTGATGCTTTATAAATGCTGCCTACACTTATTAGTTTATTAACTAAATTCCCCTCCCTCTCTCTACTTGTATTTCACAATCAATTTAATTTATTTATTTTCCTTACTATGTATGCTAAGCTTCAGTATCCAATGACAAATCTACAATTTGAGTTACATTCTTGCCGTTGGTTCACCCTCCAATGGCCGCCGCGGCCAGCGCACTGATCCGATGGCAGGAGCCAGGTACTTCTGGTCTCCCATGGGGTGCAGGGCCCAAGTACTTGGGCCATCCTCCACTGCACTCCCTGGCCACAGCAGAGAGCTGGCCTGGAAGAGGGGCAACCAGAACAGAATCCGGCGCCCCGACTGGGACTAAAACCCGATGTGCTGGTGCCACAAGGCAGAGGATTAACCTAGTGAGCCGCGGCGCTGGCCTAAAATCTATATTTGTATCATTTCATATTCACCAAGAGAAGTAGATGGAGAGATTAAGTTATGAATGTTTAAACCCTTTTTTGAATATGACTTAATACATTGGAGTTATACTTATTTAGAGTTTATGTTCTTATTTAGGTAATTTGGATCAAAATTCTTTTTCTTCTAGATCACTTAGGGCCAGGCATCAATATATATTTGCACAAAGAGACTTACTACCACTTGGCAC